ATTCGAACCCTTACACATTCGAGGGAGATTCTAAATCACCCCCGCGCCGCCGACATCAGTGTTGATCTCGGTAAAGGCGGTGCTTTGGGGCTCGAATGTTTCTGTCCACTCACGCCCCCCCGTCTGCGTCTGCTCCTCCCTATCGAGGAAACGCACAGCTCGCGAGCAGGAGCATGACTTGTTCATTTGTTAAGCCGACTAGGTGCATGGACCTGCCGCGAGCGGCGCTGCGACGTGCAGAGTACTAATCGGCGGCGAGCGAGGGGGGAAGTGAGAAGGGGCGGGCCTTCTCAGAAGGCTCGGAAGTCCCACGGTCTTCTGAGAAGTTGTCCAAGTCTTCCCCGAAGACACAGAGGCGACTTCTCAGAAGGCGCGAGGGCTTCTGAGAAGTCCCGCCGCCTTCTGAGAAGGCCTTCTCCTTCTCATTTGCCCCCCTCGCTCGCCACCAAACGAAGGGGTGGCGTGGTTCTTCGGCTACTCGGGGAAGCGCAGACATTGATTGAGACGCGCTCCGTCGCCAAAGCAGGCGACGCCGGCCTCATGTTTGGGGGGCGCATTCCTCCAGGCCTCCCAGAGGGGGCCCGACCAGATGGGGTCGGAGGATCGCGCCGCCTCGCCGATGCGATGCGGCTCGATGCGGCGCCCGATGTTCTCCGCGTCGACGGCGCCGATGCATCGCCGATGTCGAGGATGCATCGCCAGTGCATCACCGATGCGTCGCCGATGCATCGCCAATGCATCGTCGACGTATCGGCGATGCGGCGTGATCCTCCGACCCCGTCGTACTCCGACCCCACCCGGGAGGCCGCTAGACACTGAGAATCTACCGAGACTTCTTCGCAGTTGGTTCCGTAGATCCGACGAGAAATCTACTTCTGGGGCAAAGCAGAATTCTGCAGTCGATCCCCTGCTCGAGGCACTGACGCAGTGGCCCTTCGCCGAAGGGGCCTCCGACCCCACCAGGGAGGCCTGGAGTTCCCCGAGCCGTGGAGCTGGCGCGCACGCGCCAGAGCCACGGGTCCCTGGCCCGTGTCGGCGCGCGGGCCCGAGCTGCCGGGCGCCAAGAGGCAGCAGGGAGGGCACGCGCACTGCACGCGAAGGATGGCGGGCCACGGCGGGAGGAGGGGAGGTCGGCTGGTCGGACGCAGGCTGATGTGGAGGGTTTCTCCGAAGGGCTTAGCCGACCCGTCCTCCTCCTCCTCCGCCTCCTCCTTCTCCTCCTCCTCCTCCTCCTCCTCCATCTCCTCCTCCCCCTTCCCTCCACCTCCTCCTCCTCCGCTTCCTCCTCCTCGGGTCGCCTACGGGCTCGGGGGAGACTGTGCAGGCTGATGACGCTCGTTTTTGCCCATTCGTCCACGCCTTGACCTGCTCCCGACAACCCGCCGACGCCCGGGACGTCCAAAGACTCGTTGGACAGACGATGTCAAACAACATGTGCAGGCAGCTGCTGGCCACGGGAGCTGGGTACAGAGTGCAAAAATACCGGCTTTGGATACGTTGAAGGACGAGTATATCAACGAGTACATCAACGGTTGTGTGTGTGTGTGCTAGCGTGTGCAGACTAGAACGGCATAGACAAACTTTTGGCGCTCCGCGCGGATATGTTTGATCCGCGCTGGGGCCCCCCGGCGGCGCCTCCAGCGCCGCCCCTGGCGCACTCCGCGCGCCAGGGAGGGGGGTCCAGCGCGGATCCAAGAAATCCGTGCGGAGCGCCAAAAGTTTCAGTTCATGGTGTTTGTTTTGTTCTTCGTCTTCTTCTTCTATGATGACGCTCGTGCTTGCCCACTCGTGTGTGTGTGTGTGTGTGTGTGTGTGTGCGAGTGTGTGCAGATGAAGCGCAAAGGACCTGCGATGGAAGCGGCTCAGCGACCCTCAGGCCACATAGTGGTAGTATTAAGGCGGGCATGTCCCTCTACAGGAGGAACATTAACATAGTGTGGGGACGACATTTTGACTATTTTCGGCTATTTCTAATATTTTCGACTATTTCTCCTTCTTCTCCCAAAACCCGCCGGTAGGAGGACATGTCCGACCTAATGGGGCAGGACGGGGCGGAGGGAGGCTGCATACATCAAGCGACACCCCGTGATCGTTTTCTTCTTCATTGTTTTGCCGATCGGCGCGGGCCCTCGCGCCCCCCCCCCCTTCCCCCCCATGGAGTAGATCTTGGCCGTTTTTGGTGCCTGTTTCAAGCGGTTGGGGTTTCCCCCATAGTACGCACTGTTGCGAACACTGGCATTGAGCAGAGGTCTGGAGCCAGACCCCGCCCCCTTCCCCCCCCCCGTCCGCCCACTGTCGAAACGCCGAGTGAGAAAACGTTCACCACCCCACCCTGCGGCCCCAGGGGCCTTCGCGTGTCCCAGAGAAGCCGGCGCGGGTTTCTGCGTGGCATGCGCTGCGGCGCCACTTGGTCCGCCGCGCAACATGGAGAGCCGCAGGTGGGGTGGTGGTGTCGTTTTTTTTTTGTGGGGCCTGGCGTGCTGCCGCGGGGACGCCGTGGCCCGCCACTTGCGCCAGAGTGCCTGCGGGCACCGGACGGGCGGGGCTGCGTCTCGGACGCCAGCTCTCCG